CTCTTGCAGGAAGCTGGGACTAAGCCAAGCCACTCATAGGCTGGGTCATAGGGAAGAAGAGGAAGAGAAGGCAAGAGGGAGTGAGAGGTCCCCCCTGTGGACTGTGACTCAGTGGAAGCCAGATGTGGGCCAGTAGCTGAACCTTTCTGTGCCACACTAGAAGTCAGTCAGGTGCCATGTGCCAGACCAGTCTAGCATAGGAGTGGCAGTTTAAGGGTGTCAGGACTTAATGCATAAAACCACAAGTTGTATAGGGTCATCTTGTAGGGTTGTTATAAGACTAAACGTACATTAACTGTTTAAACTTACATAAAATATTCAGCACAGGCCTGTTAGCCATTGTTATTAGTATTGTCTTGACGTTATTACTAATATTATATCTTTAATATATGGTAATACCTACTATCTCAATGCCTGGTGCCTATAGAGAGTTGATAAGTAACCACTTTTCTTCTTTCGTTTACTGGATAACTTTGATTGGGTACAGGCACTTATCTGCTTTTGGAGACCTCTCTTTCTTCTGTGGGTACCTGAGGCATCTTTTGCTTTCTTGTGACTTCAAAAGCCAGTCTAGTCATTAACATCAACAGAATATACATCAGCATAAATACAGCTGCGGAGCGCCAGTCACCCAGTTGGGCAACTCACTATTCTGTCTACAGAAAGCCTTACAGGTCATCAAAGCAAGTGGGCTTATTGTGTGAAGACCCTGAGAATTTTGAAAATTATGTTGCAGTAGCTGTTTGGAATAAAACAGTAGCTGTAATGGAATAAAAAAACTGAATGATAAAGAAGAGAAACAGTAACAAAAAAAGGAGGGCAATAAATTTGTGCCTAGCGACTCTATGAATTGCTTATTATGTATTTCCTAGGAGTTAAGATAAGAACATGAGTTTATTTATGTGCGAATCCTATTCTAAAATAATGCCCTAGTACTTAAAAATGACTCAGTAATTTATTCCTTTTTTTGATAATATGTTGCCAGTGAAGTAGCGTACATTCACAGGCGGTACATTGCTGTTGCAGTATCACTGTAAGAGCAAATGTTGAAGGAGTTTGCAGACATCTGCTTTACAGTGGGGAGATAGCTGATCCAATTGGATGTAGCCCATATGTGCAGGAAAGTCTGGTTATAGGAAATTATAGACTAAAAAGACTGTTGTTGTCAATATGCATCCCTGCACGCAGTAAGGTTAAACAGAAGACCCACAACAAGCCAAATTAATCATTACAAAGCCAGACTAACAGTTATTTAAAACAGTTATTTAAAAAGCAAGAGTAGCAGGGATTCGAAACTAAAACCAACGCGGTAGCCCAGATGATAAGGTGTCCTTCTCCGTAACTGGGGAAGTCCAGGCCCCTGAAGGCACGTATGAGCCGAAGTTGAGTGAGGGGCTTTTTTATGAATACCTAATTTTAGATTGGAATTCTTAATCATTTAGGCGGTGTTAGCAAGTAGCCCTGGGTGGTATGTACCCAGGAGGACTTGCCTTTGGGGTTACTTCACAGCCGGACAGCAGACGCTCACAGGCCCCCAGGGAGGTGAGCGCCCTGCATTAGGAGAGGCGTGCCTGGGCGTCCACGGTGCCTTTGTGCACAGGGAAAACACGGGAAGGGTAGGCACCAGTGAAGTATCAATGGAGGATTAGGGATAATTTTGACTGTGTTTGCTTGTCTGTATTTTCTGAAATGTGCTGCAGTCAACCTGTTACTTTTGGCTAATTTTGTAAAGAGCATCATCCAACTTGTCAAGTCCCCACAATAGAACAGCACAGAGATTTACGTCACCACCTCACAACCTTGTGGGAGCTGAAACAATACTGAGGGGAGGAGGTGAGACCGTTATGAATAAGACTGGCTGCAGTTACTTGAGCTGCTCAGATTAAATGGCGAGAGCAGCTGTTCTTCTGTCAAGGCATAAACTGACCCTCTGTTTAGGAAACAAATTTCCCCCTCCTGCTTCACCACCGCGTCCTATGTTAGATTCAAAGGGATGGAGGCGGCAGCGGTGCAGCTTCCCCTGAACAATAGTTGTGATTAAGACTTTTCTGGACCATTCTTGTAGAAGGGTTACATTTCTTTGGGATTTTTTAGCCCAAAGGCGAGAAAGCAGAGGTAAGACATAACTCATTTTACTGAAATGGAAAATAGAACACAGGAAGACAGGCTGGAATTGCTGCTGGGAGGGTTTGTTGTTGTTTTTAACCTTTTAAAATTGTGAAGTATAGCACGTACATAGAGAAACATGCATAAAGCGCAGGGTATAACTTCATGAATTATTGGAAAGCCACCATATATGTAGACACCACCCAAGTCAAGAACTAGGACATCACCAGCACCCAGAACGTTCCTTCTCAGTCAAAAGTCCCTCCTTCCTCCTAGAGGTAACCACCATCCTATCTTTTATGCAGTACATACTATGGTTTAGTTTTGCCTGGTTTTGGACTTTATGTAAGTGGAAGCATATAGTATATATATGGCTTCTTTCACTCAATATCATGTCTAGAGAATTACCCACCTTGTTGCATGTGGTTTTAGTTCTTTCATTTTTGTTGCTGTATAGTATTCCATCATAGGCACATGCCACTATTTATCCATTTTACTTTGGATGGACATTTGTGTTGTTTCCAGTTTGGGAGCTATTACAAATAAGGCAACTATGCACTTCTTGTACATGTATCCAGGTCTAGGAGTAGAGTTGCTGAATTGTGGGGTGTGTATGTTCATACCTTTCCTAAACAATGACAGACTGGTTTCCTGTGATGACTAGGAGCTGCTCTGCATCCTTTCTCCCACCTGGTCTGATCAGGTGGTTAATGTTGCCTGTCTGGTGGATGGGCAGTAACTCACTGTGGCTTTACTGTGCCTTTCCCTGATGTGATGAGATGGTGCACCATTTCATATGTTTACTGATATTTTTAATTTCCTCTTGTGAAGTTTCTGTGCACTGTTTCGCCCATTGTTTTTCCTACTGAGCAGTCTATTATTCAGTCAACTAACCCACCTTCTGAAGTTCACTCTGCAGGGGATATGGGATGTATAACACATGCTCCCTGCCCTGAGGAAAAAAGGTTACAGCTCTAAAGGCAGATATATAAACAAGTAATTCATAATACTGCGATGATTGTTGAAGCATGCATGTTGCCCACCAGGCTGCCTATTAGCTGAAGGACGGGGCTCTTACTCACGTCATGTCCTCAGTGCTTAACACCATATCTGGCACATTTAGGTGCTTAGTAAAGTTGTGTTAAATGATCGAATGAGGCGTTTTCAGAGGATGGTGCAAGTGCTCTAGTAGGGGTAAGTGCCGTGTAATGGAGAAGCACAAAATAAGGAACCACAAATCGCACACACACACACACACACCCCCGCCCTACCCAAGAGTGAGGCAAGGCTTCCCTAGGGAGTAATGTTTGAAGCAGATCTTGAAAGGCTGTTTCATGAGAAGCCGTGGAGGAAGTACGTTCTAGGCCAAGGAATAGAAAGTACAGAGGCACAGAAGAGAGAAAGAGCACAGCCTACACTAGAAATGTGAAATGGGGGGCCGGCCGGGTGGCGCAAGCGGTTAAGTGCACGCGCTCCGCTGCGGCGGCCCGGGGTTCACCGGGTCGGATCCCGGCGCGCACAGATGCACTGCTTGTCAAGCCATGCTGTGGCGGCATCCCATATAAGGCATCCCATATAAAGCGGAGGAAGATGGGCAAGGATGTTAGCCCAGGGCCAGTCTTCCTCAGCAAAAAGAGGAGGATTGGCAGATGTTAGCTCAGGGCTGATCTCACACAAAAAAGAAATGTGAAATGGGGAAGAATGGAATGAGAGGACAGTGGAGACAGGGCCTCAGCTGGCGATGATGCTGTGAAGGGACTGCCTTCTAACTCTCCTAAGCAGTGAGGATAAAATTGAGATTAAACACAGAAAGAGATTTCTCACAGGGGAGGGGGAAGGGGGGCTACTGAGCACTAGAATTCACCTAAAGAATCTTTTCCTAGTTATCTTGGACAAAGTAGAGCAGATATATAAGCCTGATCATGAAATCAATTGAATATTTTCCCTCTAAATAACAAAAGTTATCTTTTGGAAAGTCGTGGCATAACTTGAGTGAGTACAGAGTGGTGACGAAGGGTGAGCTTTCCTAGTCAGAGCTGGACTTAGCAGCAGTGGGGCAGGGCCTTAGTCAAGCCTCAGTTTCCAAGTCTGTAATTTGAGAATAATGCTGACCAGGTAGAGCTGTTGTGAAGATTAAGGAGATAATGCATATAAAGGACTTAACCCTTGCCTGGATGGACAAATGGATGATGTAGATCCTAAATTGTTCAGATGCTGTTCTCATCGTCTTGCTTTTTGCTGGCTGTTATGGGTTCCCCGTCAGTTTATAATATGCTAGGACTATGAATACATAGTCCTCTGTGGGATGTTAGTCATTTGAAGAGATCTGCACCCCCACCCCACCCGCTTTCCACATTAGACACACGGTCAGTTAGGTCAGTTAGTGCGGAAGGCAGGTAGAGGACAGAGCCTCGGCTGTTCCTCCAGTGCCTGGCCTCGTCCGCAGGGTCTTTGTTTTCCTTTTGCTCTATCCCATGTATTCCTGAGAGGGCTGTGTGAGGGGAATTAGCAGCTTGGTGTTTATAGCTGTTTTCCTAAAGAAAGAGTATCTTACCCGGTTCTCATGCAAGGAAAGGATTAGACTTGTGATCGGCCTGAAACCAGACAGCTCCTGTGCGCTTGGCCCAAACCCCTCCCCTCGGCGGGCCGAACTTTCCAAAGGGGAAGTCGTTCGGAAGAAACGAAAGTGAAATTGAACCGGAGCCATTTCGCAGCCCAGCTCGCCCGCCCGCCCGCCCGGCCCCGGCGTTTCCTGTGCCGAATCCAGAGGCCCCCCCTTGTGTCGGGAGCAGAATCCAGAGGCGCCCCTTGTGTTGGGAGCAGCGAGCAGGAGCGGGAGGCCGGGCCCACCGCGGGGAGGGGCCCCCCTGGGGAGGGTCGTGCTGCCAGCGTGGGCGGGCGTGCGGGCGCCGGGACATGCCTCCAGGGCGCCATGGACCCGAGGCAGGTAAGCCGGCCGGGCCTCCGAGCCACCGGCCACCGAGAACTTGCTCGCCTTGGGCTCATCTTAAACGTCACTTGCGCTCGTGTTTTAGTCCGCGACATATGCGTTGTGAGTGAGAGAGAGAGAGTGTGTTTTCTTGCCAAGAAAATTGCTGTTCTAGGAATTTGTATCATGCTAATTAATTCTGCAGTGTTGAGCAATGCGTGGAAGAGGGCTGTGGGGGAAAACGCACCCCCGTCTGAGGAGCAAGGCCTGGGCCTCCGTCAAGGCCTTTCTGCTAGGACCCCATATCTTGCGCCCCCCCCCCCTCGTTAGCTCCACTTAGACAATGTTGTTTTTTAGCAGTCTCCTCTCTGCATCCTTTCCACTTTCTGAGGGCTTTTGGAAATGAAACATAGCCCTTCTTAACCTGTGGAGAAAGTTGATAGCAGCTTTATTCATCATTGCTAAAAACTGGAAAAAAACAAATGTCCTTCAACAGGTGATTAGATGAACAAACTGAGATACATCCTCATAATGGAGTATTGCTCTGGCAAAAAAAAAATGGAAGGAGCGACTGAGACATGCAACAACATGGATGACCCTCAAGTGCATATGCTGAGCAAAAGAGGCTAGACTCAAACGACGTGTACTGTATGAGCCCATTTATATGACATTCTGGAAAAAACAAGCTAGAGGGACAGAAAACAGATAGGTAGTTGCCAGGGGCTGGGTGTGGGGGAAGGAGTTGACTGCAAAATGCGTGAGAAAACTTTTTGGGAAAATGGAAATGTTCTGTGTCTTAATCACGGTGATTGTTATAAGGCTAAATGTGCTTCGGCTTTATGTAGTCAAAACATAGAATTATACACTAAAAAAGGTAAATTTTACCTAGGTACACATATATATGTCCCTTTTTTGAAAGGAATAGGGACACCTGACTTGAGGGAAAAGCATTTCTTCACGCATACCAATATATTATATGATGGAGCCCATGTGCTAAAGGTACTCATCTCTTGATCCTAAATGTATGAGACTAAAGTGAAATTTTGCAGGGCAGTGAATGTTAAATGGCTTATTACATAGTTTGCATAGTAAACAGACATGATGTGGGCTAGTGGAGATGTTGAGGGATTTAAACTGGTCACCATGGGGCAGTCGCCGGCTTTCCTCCTCCAACTCGATTCAGTGGCTCTCCCAGTGGCTGTTCTCAAGTGCTGGTTTGGCTTGGCTTGGCTTTTAGGGGACTTAAGGGGGTATAAAGAAGAAATTAATAATCTCCCTCTAATCTTTCTGTGGAATAACTATTAACAAATTCATGTATCCTTTCCTTCTTTATTTTCTCTGTGTTCATTCTAGCATGCGCACACAGGCACATATCCATGGGTTTCTTCTTTTGTTTACAAAAAAGGGATTATAGTATATGGTTCCTCTCCAACTTGCTTTTTTTGTTGTTTAACATTATATCATTCCTAAATTCTCTCCAGGTGAATACAAATAGATTGTAACACATTTTTTTAAAAAACTGTGAGTACTGTTCCATAGCATGAATGTGTCATGATTTATTTGACTGTTGATGGACATTCAAATATTTTGCAGATTCACGGCCCAAGTAGTAGCAGTTTAAATCTAGAAAGCATTTAGCTAGAAACTGACTTGAACCACTTTGAAACAAAGTTCTTTTACCATGGTCACTCTAAGGGCCAATCAGAAAACCCCAGCAGCCCCCTACTTCGGGGCTGTAAACTGAGCACTCACCCTCTGTACACATATGCACCTCGCCCCTAGCGATATGCTGGGGGCAGGGGGTGTGTGCCGCCAGAGGAGCAAGAAAAGAGATGGGATTGTGTGTCTCAGGGTGTCTTGTTCATGCAGTCGTTAATTCAACAAATGTTGGTTCAGGATCAGCTTTGTGCCAGGTGCTGTCTTAGGTGCTGGGAATGCAAAGATAACTGAAGCATAGTCCTTGTCTCCCGGGAGCCCACTGTGGAGTCGACTGCAGCCCCCCGTCAATACTACATGGGGAATATTGGGAATGGAGAGTTGAGTGTAATTTCTGGGGCACCTAATATTGTTAATCGCCTTTCAGATACACTACAGACTACGTGTGCCATTAAAAAAAATCAGTAGCTATGATATGGTAAAGTTGGCGGTGTAACAAGTGCTGAATGGGAGGAGTTCAGGGAGAGGAAAGTCCCGTGGGCCGGGAGAGGTGGGCGTCCGAGTCTCCTGAAGAAGGTGGCATTTAAGGAGATCTGTAAGGAAAGGGTGAGAGTTGTAACAGGTGGCAGTAGAGGGAGATGCAGGCACATGGATTGGGATGTGGAGGGATGGAAAGATTAGAGGCTCTTGTGCTAGCCCAGGTGAGAGTAATGAGGGGCTGGAACTAGAAGAAGACACATTCAAGAGAAAATAACAGAGAGGTAGACAAGATAGGACTTGGCAAGTCCTTAAATGTGGGAGCCAAAGGAGGAAGGCAGGTAGGCAGCAAAGAAGACTCGGGTTTCTAGCCTTAATAACTAAGAGGAGGAGGATGCCATTAACAGTAATAAGAACAGCAGGAGACTGGGTTGAGGGGAAAGATTAATTTGGTCCAGAATTTGTGGTATTTGAGGTAACGGCAGGATGTCTAAGTGGACAGGTTGTCTAGGCATTTGGAAACTCAGGTCTTAAATGCTTCAGCACAAGGTGGTGGCTGGAGATAACAGATTTGAACACTGTTTCTTAAGAGCCCTAGTTTGGGTTGGGGGAGTGGATGAAATCAACCTGGGGAAGGAAGAAGAGGTCCTTAGACAAAAGCCTGGGGACTGATTATAGGTAAGGGGTGAAAGAAGGAGACAGGGGCAGACAGAAGAAAAAGAGGTGAGAGGAGACCTTTGGTGCTGTGTCACCAAACCCTGGGAGGAGAATTTTTAAAGAAGAGAGCCCACTCCACAGTGAGCCAATGTGTGTTTGTTGAACCACATTGACCACTGAACAGCAATGAAAACCTAACTGAAGTTCAAGAGGAGAATTTATTTGACCCCATTAGCGTGAGTCGGTGTCCTTCTCCAGCCCCATTTGGAAGCTTTGGAACAGGAAAAGGGACAGTGGGCCGTGGGTGAACTGACCATGAGATCCAGGCTGAATGAGGAGGGGTGTGAAGCCAGATGGGGAAGGATTGGGAGCGGCCGACCCGCAGCTGCAGTGGGGTCACATGAGCTGCAGGTCCCACAAGGGTAAGGAGGGGGAGTTGTAGAAACAGGGAAGTTGCCATCGCAAAGGAAAGAGCAGGAGTCTGCAAACTGCAGCCCCCAGGCCAAGTGTAGCACTCCACCTGTTGTTGTAAATGAAGTTTTATGTACTGTGTGGCTGCTTTTGTGCTACAACTGAAGACCCATCTGGCCCTTTACAGAAAAAGTTTACTGACCCCTGGAAAAGAGTTTCAAGGGTTTGAGGTTTGGTAGTGGCCACGGCTAGGGTAACAGTGAAATTGAATGAGGAGCTGGGCAAGCCACTCTTGTGGCTGAAAGGTGGAGGTGGCTGTCATTGGGAGAGACAGTGAGCAACTCCCCAGCCAGGATACAATGATTCTGATTAGCAAGAGTGGGGGATGGGGTGGGGAGGTGGAGGAGGAGGCTGAAGTTACTGAAGAAAGGGGCACAGCTGCCTGCAGATCCCTGTAGCCATCAGGAGAATCAGACAAGGGGGATGGAAGCCTGAGGAAACACTGTTCCTAGATGTTGCCCCCCGCCAAGTCGGCGAGCCCCAGGGAAAGGTAGCAAGGTATTTACTGACAGCCCCCTCCCTGGGTCCCATAAGTGCCCCCTGCCTCCACCCAGCTCCAGTGAATAGCACCAGGGAGAGAGAAGGAGCACTGCTCTGTATGGGGGAGAGAAGGGTCACAAGTGCTCAGTGTTCTGACAAATGCGTGGCAGTATGTGAGAATATAGGATAGCCTGTGCCCTGCTGCACAGGGTTCTCAAGGATGTGCAGTGGCAGCAGCTATTAGGAGGTAGCTAAGGGAGTGTGGGAGGAATAGACCCTGCCAGCTGCGCACATGCAGGTGAGCCTGGGTGGTTTGGGCAAAGGTGCCTGCTGTCCCCTCTGAGCCTGGACACCACACTGAAGTATGGGAATGACGTGCTTTTTTCCTAAGGAAACTATCAGCTCCCCTAAAACCAAATTCTGGGCCTCCGGAGATGGCAGTGGCAAGCAGATGAACCTGTGAGGTCCTTTGCCCTTCCCCAGCAGGGAGACGTCCTCTGTTACAGCCGAGGAGGACTGGGTTCCAGTTCATCCAACCCACTGACAGTTTTCTCTTTGTTCCAATCATCCAAATGATAGGTTTTAGAGACAAGGGAGCTGTGTGGTGGTCCATTCCCTGGTCCCCTGGCTCCCTTGGCATTTTTAAGTTATTCTTCTGGTTTTGTTTGTTTTTAAAACAAAACATTTATTTGTTTTTCTGATTTTAAAAGGGTAGTTTTTTTAGTAAGTGGAAAGATTCATTCGCAACTCCCTAAAATTTTGTCTGAGGGAAAAGAATGAGTTAGGTTGCTGGAGAAGCTCTGGTGAGGTGTCAGAGCCCCCGTGTGCTCCTGGGTGCTCTGTGTGTTTTACCTCCTGCTCCCCTCTCTTCCCTTCCTGGGCAGTAATTACGAGGTGGGCAAGCCACCACAGCTGGGTCACAAGCCCACATCCGTTCATTTTCTCAGCCCATTAGGAATCAGGTGCAGCCCCCCAGGCAGGGAGACAGACAGGCTCACCACTGCAGTCCTAATTCACTTTCTTTTCCAACTTCTTGTTCTGCAGGGGTATTCCCTCAACAGATACCAGCGCCATCCAGTTCAAGGCTATGAGCGCAGCAAGTTCATACACCAGCAGCCAGGGCTGGGATCTTATCCCAGTAGTTTCCAACTCCAGCAAATAGAGTTTCTTAAGGGGCGGCTCCCTGAAGCCCCCCTTACTGGAAAGCAGACACCATCACTGCCGCTGTTCATCCCTGAACTCTGGCCAAGGTTTCCAGGACCACCTGCCAGAGGCAGGCAACTGGAGATCTGGGGTGTCCCCAGGAGCGTGCCTCCCAGACATCAGGTACATCAGAGAGGGTTCCAGCAGCATTCCCCCCGTGGCAGGTCTCTGCCATGGAGAGGTGTTGATAGGCTTTCCTCACATTTCCAGGAACTGAATATCGGCCAGGATCAGGAACAAAGGATCTTAGAGCTCTTGGAGGAGCTTGGGGACAGAAAGGCCACCACAGCACATGATCTGGCTAGGAAGCTCCAAGCCCCAAAGAAGGAAATCAATCGTGCTTTATACTCTCTGGCAGAGAAGGGTAAGCTACATCGGGAAGCAGGAACGCCCCCTTTGTGGAGTCTTGTACTCTCAGTTCAGCCTTGGAACCAGCACAGCCAAGTAAGGAGAGCAGACATTCATAGCCAGGGAGCTCCAAACTCAGACCCCAGTTGGGAAGCTGAAGACAGAATTCCCACGTCTGACTTGGAAGATCCTCCTGAGCCTTTTGACATGGCTGAGATTAAGGAGAAAATCTGCGACTACCTATTTAATGTGTCCAACTCCTCTGCCCTGAATTTGGCTAAAAATATTGGCCTCAGCAAGGCCCGCGATGTAACTGCTGTGCTGATTGACTTGGAAAGGCAGGGGGATGTCTACAGGCAAGGGACAACCCCTCCCATATGGTATCTGACTGATAAGAAGCGAGAGAGGATACAGATCAAGAGAAATACGAACAGTACTCCTGAAACCACTCAAGCTGCTATCCCTGAGACCAAAAGAAACGTAGAGCTCCCCACCTGTAACCTACCCACGTCAGAGGCCTCAAACAATGCGGTAACCACAGAAAAAGTGGAGAATGGGCAGGAACCTGTCATAAAGTTAGAAAATAGGCAAGAGGTCACACCAGAACCAAAACTGAAACCACCTGTTCATGACAATGGCCCCTCAAAAACAGGGTATGTTGACTTTGAAAATGGCCAGTGGGCCACAGATGACATCCCAGATGACTTGAATAGTATCCACGCAGCACCAGGTGAGTTTCGAGCCATCATGGAGATGCCCTCCTTCTACAGTCATGGCTTACCACGGTGTTCACCCTACAAGAAACTGACAGAGTGCCAGCTGAAGAACCCCATCAGCGGGCTGTTAGAATATGCTCAGTTCGCTAGTCAGACCTGTGAGTTCAACCTGATAGAGCAGAGTGGACCACCCCATGAACCTCGGTAAGAGACCACCCAGGAATCGTACCTCGGGTTGGGGTCAGGCGCCCTCGCTCCTGACGCAGTCTCAGCTGACTCGTGAGCAGTGCCGTTTGGTGGCCCCTGTCTTTTCCCTCTTCCTGTCTGCCTTTTGGCTAAATCACCCTTGTGGCCCTTCCTCCAGATCTTGAGCAGGGAATGTAGACCTCGGACCAGCCAGAATCTTGGCTGAGCAAGGGGGAGGTTGACTCTATTGGCTAAAATGAAGCTGCTTTGGAGATGATTAGCTTTCACGCATCGTTGTCATGCCTGCCTCCTAAGGCCAGAGGTAATGAAGATTTGACTCCCTTCCCACCCTCTTCCATGTGCCATCCCCGTTTTCCCTAAGCTAAGTTCCCCAGAGAGGTACAGGAACAGGTGGGTTGGGGCAGGCTGCACACGAGAGTAAGGGTGGGTTGTGCTGCTAAGCAGCAGCAGGTCCAACCGCCCCGCCCCCTACCCCGCCGCTCAGCTCCTGTAGGGAAAGGGTGGTGTAGAGTGTGCGTGGCTGCCTGCCTGTTGAAGGTGGTGGTTCTAATTTTACATACCTCCTCTGCACAGATGGGTGGGCTAGCACTTGCTGCTGCTCCTAAGCTGTGAAATCAGAAATTACCTCACTCAAACAGCTGGCTGGGCCCTGCACCATAGGCTCCTACAGGCCAGGGGACAGATTGAGGAAGACAGGTGGGCTCAGAAAGAGCTGCTGAAGGGCCTAGTGGAGAGCTGAACCCATTGAAGCTCCAGAGAGCACACTAGAGAAGACAGGAGAGAGTTCCACTAACCTTTATATTAATCATAGGCTGGGCCCTGAGGGTAAGGATTCCCAGCTGTGAGCTTTATTCCTTATCTCCACTGTCTTAACGACAGTGAGATGGCATTGCAGAAGAGCTGGTAAGAAAAGGGGGTGTGTCTGTCCCGAAGCTGGCAGGGCCAGGACTGGTTTGTTTCTGTTCGGGGTCAAGACTGGACGGCGGTCATTCTCTTTCTTTTCCCTACATCCCCCTTCCCAGAGTGGGGAAAAACGGTGGGTTTTGTGCTTAACCTTTCTTTGTACTCCAGCCATAAGAAACATTGACAGCATGTTCAAATATTTCAGAAGACCCAGGAAATAAGAAATGTGACCTACTTTTCTAAATGAAATCCCAGACTGAGCAAAGAGCCATACAAATTTGAAAGCTGGAACAAAGGAGGCCTGAGTTAAGTCCAGAGGCCTAGAACAAATGCTTTTTGGTTTTCTACATAACAAGGGGAAATTCCTTTCATCTCAGGCCTCAGATAAATAGAGCTTTAGAATGACTCAAAACAAACCATAAGAGTGGTGTATCTCTAAGGGTAGGTTGGGGACAAAAACAGGCCCTGAGAAGTGGTAGGTGTCTGAGCCCTGTAGGTGTCTGGAGAGCATGAGACTGCGCCTTAGCTTTCTGTAGGAGCTACCCTTGAGGTGGCCCGTCTGCCTCAGTTGCTTTAGGATGAAGGCTTTTTGGTTGCCAACAAAACTGAAATGGTGATTTTAGCTCATCAATTTTTGTATAGACTTTATCTTAATGCACTGCTAAGTGAGAGTGGGTTTCCCCTGAGCTAGTTTCTTATCACCTATGGCTATGTTTGCTCTAATGAGCTCTGGGGAGAGATTCACTGGCTGCTTTGTTTCCAAGAAGTAGGGACAGGCTGAGCCCCCAAAGGGACAGGAGTCCCTTGGCCTACCCTCCATCTCCTCCACAAGTCAGAAGTCCCCTTAGTGTAGCAGGAAACTCCAGGGTGAAGATCTCTTTGGAGAGGGCAGAAGGGATGGCCTAGACTAGTGTTCACACATCTAATCACTTTCCATCAAGATTTAAATTCCAAGTTGTCATCAGTGGCCGAGAATTCCCCCCAGCTGAAGCTGGCAGCAAGAAAGTGGCCAAGCAGGATGCAGCTATGAAAGCCATGACAATTCTCCTTGAGGAAGCTAAAGCCAAGGACAGTGGAAGATCAGAAGAATCGTACTACTATTCCACGGAGAAAGAATCAGAGAAGGTAGGTGTCCTGCCCTCTGGGAAGGTATCCGTACACTTTCCACATCTGTGAAGTATCAGGGCTTTGAACCTCTTGAAGCAATATCAGCCTAAAGAACTGATTCTGTATCTCAGTCAGCTTCCTGCTCTTCCCTCTACCCCAACTCACAGCCCACCTTTCCTCCTCTCATACCCAGCTCCCCTTCTTGCCCCCTTCCCAGCCTAACTGGATTATAGAATTTCAGAGTTGAAAGAGACTTTATAGATTATCAAATCCAATCTCCTCTCTTGGTAGATAAGAAATGAGACCCAGAACGTTTAAATAACTGACCCTTTCCTGCAATGCCTAAAAAATGCCCGCAACCGTCCTCCTTTTGGAAAGCCAGCCCCTAACATGTAGTTGACCAAAAGAAATTCTCCACATTCCCTCTGCTGTAATAGACTAGCCAATGTTTTCTTTGTGTTTTTTTGTCTCTCATTTTCTCCAGACTGCAGAGTCCCAGCCCACCACCCCTTCAGCAACATCCTTCTTTTCTGGAAAGAACCCCGTCACTACTTTGCTTGAGTGTGTGCACAAGTTGGGGAGCTCCTGTGAATTCCGCCTCCTATCCAGAGAAGGCCCTGCCCATGACCCCAAGTACATCTCTTGTATCATGTATCTCTGCTGAGGTTTTCTCAAAAGAGAGATACATTTTCCTCCTGGTCCCCTCAGAGATGGCAGATTATTTCCCTGAGCAATCACTCCTGTGTTCAATATGGAAAATGGGGGCCTTGAGGGCATGGTTGCTGCCTGTGGAGCAGAGAATCTGGGATTAGGAATTCAAAGGGCGGAGCAGGGACCAAGCACTAGGGAGATACATGGCTTGGCGGTTACCAGTAGTGGGACAGAAAGGTACAAGACCTGGGCATCCCTGAGAAGCTCTCTGCTCTGAGGCTCTGCAGACTTACATGTTCAAGAGAAGGGTTCCTGGAGGAGGTGAAACTAGGGTCAACCAGGCAGAGAGAGACTGGGGGCAGGAGGAGGGGTGAAAGGCACTGGCTCTTCAAGGCAGAAGTGACTGCGTGAGCCAAGGCACAGAGATGATGTATGCATGGAAGTTACAAGTTGTAAAGGATGACAACCTGACAAGGGCTGGGTAAATCTCTTCAATCAAAACCATCTTAATCCTTCTCCTTTCATCTCCTGTCAGGTTCCAATACTGTGTTGCAATGGGAACCCATACTTTCCCCACTGCGAGTGCCCCCAGCAAGAAAGTGGCAAAGCAGATGGCTGCAGAGGAAGCCATGAAGGCCCTGCATGAGGAGGCAACCAATTCGATGCCTTCTGAGAACCAGGTGGGGCCATTGTCCTGCTCAGAAGATCCAGGTCGTTTGTAGCAGCTGAGTGGCTTAGGATTGCCTGTGAGTCCCTCCAAGTTTCCTTAAGTGTTTATGGTTCCTCTTTGTTTGGCGAATTCTCCTTCAGCCTGGAAGTACGAACACAGAGTCACTTGACAGCTTGGAATCTGGGGTGCCCAACAAGGTCAGGAGGATTGGCGAGCTCGTCAGATACCTGAACACCAACCCTGTGGGCGGCCTGTTAGAGTACGCCCGCTCCCACGGCTTTGCTGCTGAGTTCAAGTTGGTTGACCAGTCGGGACCTCCTCACGAGCCCAAGTGAGTGTTCCAGTCCTGCTACAGCCATGTGTCACAGGGTGGGGACTGCCTATAACCCAGGGAAAGAAAGGATGTGCATTAGCTGTGAATCACAGGAGAGGCAAGTTGAGGGAAACAAGTCCAGCCCTGTCTCCATGGCCTCCTAGAAGACATTAGATCAGCGATCTTTTTTTTTTTTTTTAATATAATTTTATTTATTTATTTATTTTTCCCCCAAAGCCCCAGCAGATAGTTGTATGTCATAGCTGCACATCCTTCTAGTTGCTGTATGTGGGACGTGGCCTCAGCATGGCTGGAGAAGCGGTGCGTTGGTGCACGCCCGGGACCCGAACCCGGGCCGCCAGTAGCAGAGTGCACGCACTTAACCACTAAGCCACGGGGCCAGCCCTAGATCAGCCATCTTGAGAATACAGTCACTCTTCCAGTGAGCATGATCCTTCTTAATTTTTTTTAATTAATTTTAATTTTCAAAGGACTGTATATGTACATAGAAAATCATTCAGGCTGATGGAAAAAGTATGCAATGAAAAGTCTCATTTCTATCTCAGACTTCTAGTTTCCCTCCCCAGACCCATAACTATCATCAGTTTCTTGAGTCCTTCTAGAAATTTCCCTGCATATATTAACACATTTTCCTTTCTTTTGGTTTTTAAACAAAAATAAGTATATATCATATCTTCTGTTTTACACCTTGACTCCTTTCCTTACCAGTGTGTCTTAGAGACCATTACAAATCAGCACATATAGATCTGTCAGACTCTCTTGCACAGCTACATAATCTTTCGTTGAATAGATGCTTACAATTTTTTAATTGTTTTATTAAACCAGAGATATAAAATGGACACTCATGTACCTACCACCTAGTTTAAGAAAGAGAATGTGGCTATTCCTATTAAAGAGTCCCCACCTTGCATAATTTATTTAACCAACATTTAGGTTGGTTTTAGTCTTACTATTAGAAATACTCCTGCAGTACATATCTTGGTACTGTATGTCTTTGCTTACATGTGCAAACTAGTCTGTAGTATAAATTTGCAGGAGTGGAATTTCTGGGCCATGGATCATGTACCTTTAAAAAAAACTTTTTTTAATAGGTAATAGACTATCCAAAATAAATATTATTCAAATATGAAAAGCTCATTCTCACTCATTCTCCCTTTGGCCCAGCTTGCGCGCGCGCTCTCTCTCTCTCTCTCTGTCTCTCGCGCTCTCTCTCTCTCTCTCTCTCTCTCTCTCTCTCACTCACATGTGCGCGCACACACACACTAGCTAATGCAAGCAGTTTAGAAAAAGAAATAAGTATAAAGAGAGAAAAGGGGAGGTAAAGTTATTGTTATTTTCAGACGATATGACTGTATACTTGGAATATTCATGAGAAAACTGAAGAAATATTAGGGACAAAGGAGAAGTTAGGAGAGCAGGGCATTACAAAACGATGTATAAGAATCAAGCACTTTTCTGTATACAACAATAAGCAATTGGAGAACGTAGTAGAAAATATCCTGTTTGCAACAACAGCTAAAAAGATAAACGACCTAGGCACACTCCTGATAGGAAATATGTAGACTCTACATTAAGTAAAATGTTGCTGAAGGATAGACAGAAAGACTTGAGTATGTGGGCAAAAATACTCTATTATTAGATAGAAAAATCTAATTCAATGATAGCAGCTGTCCCCAGATTAATCTATACCTTTAATGTGATCCCAATAATAACACCAATGGAGTTTGTTTATTTATTTATTTTAGAACTAGAAAACTTGATTCTGAAGTGCATATGAAAAGTCAATGTGAAAGAATAGCTAGGAAAATTCTGAAAGAGTAATAAGGTATATTGGCCCTAGCAGATGTTAAAATAGTGTTGTATTGGCATGTGGATAGAAAGGTGAATCAGCGAAACAGAATGAAGCCCCTGAAAGTAGACATAGAGATATAAATGGGAATTTTGTCCATTATAAAGATGAGGCTTAAAATCAATGGGGAAATAATGGGTTATTCAGTAATGGTGTTGAAACTGCTGACCACTCATCTAAAAAGAAAAACAGCTGGATGTCTGTCTCCTTCCCTACACCTAAATTCCACTGGACCCAGGATTTAAATATAAAATAAAGGAAATCATAAAATCACTAGATAAAAAGTGGGGATTTTTTTTAGAATTTTGGAGTGGCAAAAGCTTTCCAAACAAGACACAAAACATAAAATCATAAAGGGAAATGTGACTATAAGGAAAATTCATGTGTAGTAGAAAGACCACCTGAGGAAAAAAATCTTGCAATACACAACAGCCCAAGGTTAATTTCTTTAATATGTAAAGGGTTCTTTTCAAATCTACTAGAAAAATAGACAAAGTATATGAACTGTACATTCACAGAAGAAGAAACATAATGAATTGTTAATAAGTGAAAAGGTGCTCAACCTCACTTTGTAAATTAAATTTACACTTTGTCAGTGTACTTAAGCAACAGTGATTAACAGTGATATTAACAGTGATATAATTCACTAATTATAGCCAAGGATAGAGAGCAATGCCTGTAACCTAGCAGTGCCACCTCTAGGAATTCACACACACACCTGCACACACAATGCATGATGTAAGTACAGATGTTTTCATTGCATCATTGTTTATAGTAACACAAGACGTGAAATGGTCTAAATTTCCATCGTTTGTAGGTTAAGTAAACTGTGGTACATCCACACTTAGGAATACTATACAGCCATAAAAAGAGTAAGACACATCTGTATGAAATGATCTCTCAGGTAGATTCTTAATGAAAAAGCAGCGTGTAAAGTGAGGGGAGAGGTGTAAGTAGTGTGCTTATATATACATGGAATATTTTCTTGAAGGATTCAAAAAACTGATAACTGTCCTTCTGGGGAAGGAGGGATACTTACTTGTCATTATACACTCTTAACTATTTGAATTTTTCCTTGTGTGGCATCCACCTTTTCAATTTTAAAAAGTCATTACAGAGAAAAGGTCATAAAATGGTATCTTAATTTTAAATTTGTCTTAGTAGTAAGTAGTTTTATTCATCTATTCGTGTTTATGTTATTTGTATTTCCTTTTCTGTGAACTACCTGTTCTTGTCCTTATCAGTTTTGCTTTTGGCTTGTTACTCTTTATTGATATATAAGAGCATTTAACATAATAAAAAAATTAACGCTTTGACCAGCATGAGCCAATTTAGAACACTCAACCTAGAAGGGGCCAGAAAGGGCGCTCTTATCTTCTTCCTAGTGGCAGGGTGCAGTGGGAACGTGTGAGGCCAGTGGGAATCTGCCCCTTGTTAAACCATCCGGGAGGTGCAGGCTCCCCAGCTGCTCTTCTCCTCGTTCGTAGCCTTCACTCTCGATAAGCCCCCTTATCTTTAACCTCATTCTTCATGTGGTAGGTTCCCTCCATTTCATCTTTCTCTTCCATAAAATCTTCTATAAAATCCTTTCTAGGACTTCCTGTCATACATTCATTCAGAATTTAAGAACTTACTGTGAACTAGGTTGAAGATATGAGAAACTCCTGCCCCTGAATGTACTGCAGACACGTAATCGCAGCACAGTGTTATAATGTGCCATAATGTAGGTAAATGTGCTGTGCCGTGGTGACACAGTGCATGCTGCAGCCGGTGTCTCCTGGGGAGTAGAGGAAGGTTGCATGGAGGAGGGGAAATTTTAATTTAATAGCTACATTTATTGACCTTATAGTACAGTAACACACATTACTTCCTTCTTAACATGAATTATGCTGGGTTCTCTTTTTTTCCTTTCTCTCTGCTCTTTTTGGCAACCTTAACTGATTTCGTGACTTTTAATATCCAAATGCTGGAGACCACTAAATTTATATCTCAAGCCCAAACCTTTTCAGAGCTCCCGATTCCTCTGTCTAGCTGCTTAGTTGTCACTTCTTGGATAGATATCTCTAACATAACATGTCCAAAGCAGAACTCTTGATGTTTGCCCCCTTTACCTCTTTTTCCCCTGGTCTTTCCCATCTCAGTAAATGACACCACTGTCCACCCAGTTGCTCAAGCCAAAACCCTGGGGATCAACTTCTCTATCCCCTTCATCTCCTTCAGCCAAACAGTCCTTAAGTTCTGTTTATTAAACCTACAATTTCTACCCCAGTCCCTTCCTCTTCTTTCCACCTCCAGTGTCAGCTCTCTAGGCTAAGCCAGTAACTTTGCTCACCTAAACCATGCAGCAGTCTCCTGGTCTCCCGACTTTATTCATTCATTCAACAAAGATTTATGGAGCACATTCTATTTGTTAGTACAGGAGCCAGATATTAATCAAGAATCACATAAAGAAATGTAAGATGTCATATTTGATATGTATTATAAAGGGCTCGAGGTGCATGGTGCAGTGAGAATCTATACACATGACTTGACTTAGTAAGGAGAGTGGGGAGGGCTTCCCGGAGAGGTGATGCCTGAGCTGAGACCTAACGATGGTTAACAGACAAAGAGGCAGATTCTAGGCAAAGGAGATAGTGCACCACAAGTCCTGTGGTGGGAGGAGGGCAGAGCTGGTAAAGGGGCTGCAGGAAGGCCAGTGTGGGTGGAGCAGAGAGCACAGGGGAAGCCTGATGCTGCCTGAGATGGAGGGGCGATGGGGGCCTTGTTGGCCGTGTTATGCTTCTTTACCACACAAGTAGTGGAAAGCCATTGAAAGGTTTTGAGAAAGGGAGTGTCACTTACCCCCTACCCCCACTTTTTCCCTCTTTCCAGCTTTTTTCCTACTGTGTTTTTGTACTGGATTCTCTTTCCTACTCTGAGAAAACTATTTCAGACCTTTGCCTCTTTCTTCAAATTTCCACCAAAACCCCTCTTCCTCACTCTAAACTGATGACCTTACTTCACACTTAATTGAGAAAATAGCAATAATCATAGGACAAATACCTTATCTTCCCATCACCAAATCCACCTCCCTACCTGCATCTGTCCTTGTATCTGTACCAGTGTGCCGGAACATCCTTCCTCCCATCCCTCTGCCGGGATCCCCTTCCCTCTCATCTACTCCTTCAGTTACCTCCCCTCCCTTGTCATCAGTTGCTCCGTCTACTGGACCTTCCCATCAGCCTATGAACATGCCCATGCCCATCTTTTAAAAACCCTCCTTCAGGGGCTGGCCCGGTGGCATAGTGGTTAAGTTCGTGCACTCTGCTTCGGCAGCCCAGGGTTCACAGGTTCAGATCCGGGGCGTGGACCTATGCACCGCTCATCAGGCCATGCTGTGGCAGCATCCCATATACAAAATGGAGGAAGATGGGCACAGATATTAGCTCAGGGCTAATCTTCCTCAGCAAAAAGAGGAGGATTGACAATGGATGTTAGCTCAGAGCCAGTCTTCCTCACAAAATAATGAATGAATTAATTAATTAATTAAAACCTTCCTTCAACTCCATATCTCCCTCCAGGTACCACCTCATCTCTCTGATCCCCTCACAGCCAAACCTCTCAAAAGAATTGTTTATACTCATTTTCTTAAGTCATTCTGATTGGGCTTTTGTCCCCAGCATTCCGCCAAAAAAGCTAACCACTAGACATATGTGGTGATTGAGCACTTGAAATGTGGCTAGTGTGACTGAGGAACTGAGTTACTAATTGTGTTGAATTTTAATTAAAGTTAATAGTCTCGTGGTTAGTGGCTACCATATTGGACACAAACTTTATTATATATACATGGATATATATGTGTGTGTGTATATATATATATACGTGTGTGTGTGTCTGTGTATATATCTATGTACATAAGAGTTCATATTATTTTCAAACACATAGAACAGTCATGAAAATCTCCTGGATCCCTCAGGCAAGGATCCTACACAGTTTGGCCCCCACCCTCTGTCCAGTGTCTTTTCATGCTACTGTCCCTCTCCTTCAGTGAACTTTAGCCCATGGCCCACACGAACCGGGCATCGGCAAAGAAAAGAGTGAAGGCTTCAGCTGCTTAGGATAAGCAAGGAATAGTGAGAAGCTTGGTGTGGTGGAACGTGAAGATTGATTCCTTTTACTGCCTGAGCTGATAAATCTTGATACTGAAGCCTTTCTTACATGTAGTTGGATTATCCAAAGTTGGGTTCCCCAGCCAGCAGATTAGGATCTGGTTGAAAGCTAGGATTCTTGAAACCTTGTTTCATAGATGCCCAAGCCATTTTGCTCCATCATACTCTTCCCTCTGTGTTTGTGGAGGTCCCTAGCCAAGAAGGGAGGGGAGCCCCAGGCCCCTGGCGGCACTGGCTACCCCCCTGCTCCATGACTCTACCTGCAAAGCTTCCTTTGTAACAAAGACAGGCCTAGAGCCTTTGCAGGCGATAGTATCTAGTCAGAATTTGATAACATGACTTTATCATATGCAGTTTTATGGCCACCTTCAATTTATGGCAAGTGATACTGGTTTTCCATTTACAATAGTGATATAAAGTTTCCTTTTTAAGTGTGTCTACATTTAAAGAGAGTCAATTTAGAGAAAAATATTAAGTAATAATCCAAGTGATATCTGGATCTAGCAGAAATCACATTGTGATTCATGAATGTCCAAAGTCTGCGAAGTGCTCCCTTAGAAACAGGGCTGTCAAGAGTGATGGCTCCATATGTTGGCAGGTCTGGGCCGCATCTTAAGCAAAACTAGCCCTTCCCTGGAACAGCTCTCAAGGTCAAGTGCTTGTCTTTATCCCCTGCTTCTTATCCCAAAGGTTCGTTTACCAAGCAAAAGTTGGGGGTCGCTGGTTCCCAGCCGTCTGCGCACACAGCAAGAAGCAAGGCAAGCAGGAAGCAGCAGATGCGGCTCTCCGTGTCTTGATTGGGGAGAACGAGAAGGCAGAACGCATGGGTTTCACAGAGGTAACCCCAGTGACAGGGGCCAGTCTCAGAAGAACTATGCTCCTCCTCTCAAGGTCCCCAGAAGCACAGCCAAAGACAGTTAAGACGTCTACTTTTGGTGCTATCTTTTTTTGGGGTCCTGCTAACTCCTCTCTGGGTGGAGTTGGCTCTTAACTTGCTACCATGTGAACTATTCCTAGGCTTTAACGTTAGCCTCAATAGAACATAGAACTGGGACACTGGATGTGAGAGGGGAAAAGATGACTCACAAGTGGAATAGAACTGGATCTCCATGCCCACTGTGAAATATGGTGGACACAGACTAGGCTCTGTGGCCCTGACGTAGCCTCCTGTCCCCACAGCTTCCTCTCACTGGCAGCACCTTCCACGACCAGATAGCCATGCTGAGCCACCGGTGCTTCAATGCTCTCACCAACAGTTTCCAGCCCTCTTTGCTTGGCCGCAAGATCCTGGCTGCCATCATCATGAAGAAAGACTCTGAAGACCTGGGTGTTGTGGTCAGCTTGGGGACAGGTAAGTGAGGCTCTGCCTTCCACCCGCCACGGTACCTGGAAGCTCATCCTTTTCTTTCTCTCCCAGAATCCCATGTGGGCGAGTTTAAGGTTGGGAGAAAAGACTCTTCTTGTATTTCATTTTAACTACAGTTAATTCAGAGTGGAGAGTGAATTCTCATTTCCTAGGGAAAAGAATATGGGAGTCAGGATCTGATAAATTGATGCTGTTTCTGCTTTCAGCCTCTACCCTATCCATCATTTTCCTTTGGAAATTTCATATTTGCTTTAAATGCCTTCCCAGGGAATCGCTGTGTGAAGGGAGATTCTCTAAGCCTAAAGGGAGAAACCGTGAACGACTGCCATGCAGAGATCATCTCTCGGAGAGGCTTCATCAGGTGAGCGAGATAACGTGGGGTGATGCCGCCTCTCTGCTGCACCTCCGCTGCCCACCCAGGGCCTTGCGGCTCTGACACCCACCAGATGAGCAGCTCATTGACTAGGCAGTGTCAGCCTTTGCTTTGCCCGTCCATTTGAACCTGTCTTATGGAATAGATCCTTTCTGTGACTTGGGCTGCATCCCGCTACTCAGCCTGCTGTTAAGTGCCTTCCCTTTTTCTTCCAACTCTGCTTCATGCCCTTTTTTAAAAACACGAAATGAGGGGCCTGCCTGGTGGTGCGAGTGGTTAAGCGTGTGTGCTCCACTGCAGCAGCCCAGGGTTCGCCAGTTCGGATCCTGGGCGCGCCAACGCACCGCTTGTCAAGCCATGCTGTGGTGGTGTCCCATATAAAGTAGAGGAAAATGGGCATGGATGTTAGCCCAGGGCCAGTCTTCCTCAGCAAAAAGAGGAGGATTGGCAGATTTTAGCTCAGGGCCGATCTTCCTCACAAAAAAAAAAAAAAACACGAAATGACCTCTGGGTGCTCAGGGCTTTAGGGATGAGGAAGCCTTCCATCTCCATTTGAGGACCTATAAACAGCCCCACTGCCCTGCCAGCTTTCTCCTCCAGTTCACCGTTTCTTTAATTGATGAAGGAAGAGACTCGGGGAGAAGCAACAGCCTCCTGTAGTCCTTGAATCAATTGGTTCTGCCCAGAATCCCTGTAGCCACCAGAGTGAGGAGCTTTTGGCAGAAATGAGACTGACCTGAGAGGCTAACTTTGCTCTAAGAAATGCTGAGGTCTCCCAGCACCTCTTTCAACCTGAGAAACCGTGAAAGGTCTGCACTGTGAAGGCTGTTCCTTACTTGCAGCTTGCTTTTCCGTACTTGAAGTCGGATTATAGGAGCAACTGCTATTCCCAGAATCAAACCTGTCTTCTTAACCAGACTTTCTTATAGGTTTCTCTACAGCGAGTTAATGAAATACAACCCCCAGACGGCGAAGGATAGCATCTTTGAGCCTGCTAAGGGAGGAGAAAAGCTCCAAATAAAAAAGACTGTGTCGTTCCACCTCTATATCAGGTCTGTACAGTCTCTGTTGCCACCAGAGCAGGCCCTGCCTGACTTCCAGGGTTGGGTATTCAAATGGTCTCCTGGCCCGTGAATCGGATCTCATTCGTTGGGCCACACTCAGCTCTGTGTTTGAGGTTCATATTCAGTGTGGAACGACTCTCACACACACTTCTACCCACCTCCCATGCAGCCCGTGGTGGGCTTCAGAAAAAGTCCCTTGCCTCTATCTCATTGGGCTATTCTCAAGCCCCAGGAAGTTAGAGAGAGATATCTGCACAGGTGAGTTTTAACAGATGCCCCTGTTTTGCAGCACGGCCCCGTGTGGGGACGGTGCCCTCTTTGACAAGTCCTGCAGTGACCGTGCTGTGGAGAGCACAGATTCCCGCCACTACCCTGTCTTTGAGAACCCCAAACAAGGCAAGCTCCGCACCAAGGTGGAGAACGGTGAGTGACACACATCCTCCCTCTCTCCCACAAAAGGGCTCTGCAAAGCCCCAGGCCCATCACAGGGACAAGGGCACAGCTGCCTGGTTTTTGCTATTAGTTGCTGGGGAACAAGGGTGTTATTTACAGGGAGAGGGAAGATCTGGGTACAGGGAAGGTCTATAGGAAGATCAAGATTCCATTTTGAATTTGTTAATTGGTGACATCTCCAAATCAAATAGGAGGCAGAAGTACCCATCTAGAGCTCAGAGGAGCGAGCCTGGCTGGAACTAGAAGTCGGGAGGCCGCCTCCTGTGGTTGATCTTCACAGCCATGGAAATGGATTAAATCACCTTGGGAGAGGGTGGAGGATGAAAGTGATGCAGAACCCTGAGGAGCTGACAGAGGAGGGTGCCGAGTGCCTGGTTCCCCTCCTGTCTAGTTGGCTGCTGATTCTATGCTTGTCTGCCAGCTCCTTCTCCGCTGTCCTCTGATGTCTCCTTACCCTCTCCTTGCATCCACTCCTGTTCCCTCCAGGCCATTCTACAGTCATCAGAGTGATTCTCAAACATAGATTGTGTCACTTCCCTGCTCAAAGCCCTAGAGTGTAAACACAGAGTTACCATAGGACCCAGGAATTCACTCCTGGGTATATACCCAAGAGAAATGAAAACATGTCCACACAAAAGCTAGTACACGAATGTCCACAGCAACATTACTCATAATAGCCCCAAAGTGGAAACAGCCCAAATGCCCATCTGATGAGTGGATAAACAAAATGAGGTATATCCATACAATGGAATGTTATCTGGCCATAAAAAGGAGTGAAGTACTGATAAATGCTACAACATGGGTGACCCTTGAAAACATTGTAAGAAGTGAAAGAAGCCAGTCACAAAAGATCACATATTGTATGATTCCATTTATATGAAATGCAAATTCATAGAATAGGATAGGTAATAGGCAAATCCATAGAAACAGAAAGTAAATCGGTGGTTGCCCAGGGCTACAGGCGGGAGGGGTTGGGAGGAAATGGGGAGTGACTGCTAACGGTAGCAGGTGTCTTTTGGGGGTGATGAAATGTTCTGCAATTGCTTGTGGTGATGGTTTCACAACTCTTGTGAATATACTGAAAATCATTGAATTGCATACTGTAAATGGGTGAATTATATCTCAATAAAGCTGTTATAAACCCCCCCATGGTGGTTTTCCATCACGCTTCACATGAAAGCAAAACCTCCAGACTCACGTATGCTTCAGTCACACTGGGTCTTTGTCAGCTCTCTGAACAACAAACCCCTTGCTACCTCAGGGCCTTTGCTTTTGCTGTTCTCTCTCTAGCTATTCCTTCTCCTCCTTTATGTCTTAGCTCCCCTGACAATTCTACTCAGGAGGCTCCCCTTGCTGTCATCCATGGTAGCTTCTTCAGAGCCCCAGAGCACTGTCGCCATTCAGAATTCTTCCGCATGTCACTGGGTTACTTGTGTAGAGTCCGTTTCGTTCCCTTTCTATCCCCTCCTATCCCCTCACCCCCATAAACGTTCTAGGACAAGGACCTTACTTGGTTTTGCCCACTATTGTTTCCCATCACCAGGCGTGGTGCCCAGCACACAGTGGGTGCTGTGAAATAGACGAAGAAGGAATGAATGAGTAGCCTGTGGCCCGAGTGTAAGGAGTATAAACACCGCCCTGGGGAGTGGTCTGGTCCAGGGCCCCTGTGGGTCTGACCCAAGTCTCTCACACAGGGGAAGGCACAATCCCAGTGGAGTCCAGTGACATTGTGCCTACGTGGGACGGCATTCGGCTTGGGGAGAGACTCCGCACCATGTCCTGTAGTGACAAAATCCTACGCTGGAACGTGCTCGGCCTGCAGGGGGCACTGTTGACCCACTTCCTGCAGCCCATATATCTCAAATCAGTCACATTGGGTAAGGGACCTGTCATCAGTCTCATTCTAGCACCCAAATCCCAGGAAACTGCATTCTTTGTTGCCAGGTGTTAACATGACAACTCCCCTTTTCAGTGTGCTTGATTCAGTGGTCAGTAATTGATTCTGAGGGTCCAGTCTGCTGGGAGGGGAAGACTGGTATGGGCAGCAGCAGGCTTAAGTAAAGACATACCAGCAAGTGTCTTCCAGATGAGTTAAAGAAACACAGCAGCTTGGGGGCCGGCCCGGTGGCACAGCGGTTACGTGCACGTGCTCCACTTCGGCAGCCCGGGGTTTGCAGGTTCAGATCCCAGGTGCACACCGACGTACAGCTTGTCAAGCCATGCTGTGGCAGCATCCTATATAAAGTAGAGGAAGATGGGCACGGATGTTAGGCCAGGGCCAATCTTCCTCAGCAAAAAGAGGAGGATTGGCATCAGATGTTAGCTCAGGGCCAGTCTTCCTCACAAAAAACAAAAAGAAGCACGGCAGCTTAAACCTCAGTGTCTGTTTCCTTAATCTCCACAGCCCTTGGCCTCACCTGGAACCTAATATATTGTGCTTAAATGTTTGATGATCTCATATGTATCCTGGGTAGCCACACTCAGAAGGTGCTTCCTAATGTGGGAGCTGTTTCTCTGTCTTGACCACTCTGTTTTGTCCCTTCAGAACCCCCACATGCCTCTGCCTCTTAACAGCATTTGGTGCAAACACACACGTGTGTGCATTTCTTTTTCGGACCCAGGTTACCTTTTTAGCCAAGGGCATCTGACCCGTGCCATTTGCTGTCGTGTGACGAGAGACGGGAGTGCATTTGAGGATGGACTGCGACCTCCGTTTATTGTCAACCACCCCAAGGTGCTATAACCCCATCCAGTTTTCCCTTGACGTTATTCCTGTTTTCAAGCAATCCTGTCAGCAGAGCAAAAGTGTACAGTGTGGGCAAGGGGAGCCTTAGGTGGTGTCCCGAGAACTTATCCTTTCCTCCTTTTGACTGCCAAGAACTCTCCTTCTTTTAGTCTGGAATTAATTTGAATTGAGGTGGGGTTAGTATGTCTAGAGTCTTAGCCAAACAGAATCCTACATGAGGGGGAAAGATCACGACCCCACACTCCCTCTTTCCTGTGAGTCTTGAGTCCCTGCTTCAGAATCTTTTTCCTGAAAGGTTTCCGTCTTTCTCCTGTCGCTCCTGGGATTTCTAGGTTGGCCGAGTCAGCGTATATGATTCCAAAAGGCAATCTGGAAAGACTAAGGAGACGAGTGTCAACTGGTGTTTGGCTGACGGCTATGACCTGGAGATCCTGGATGGGACCAGGGGCACCGTGGATGGGTAAGGAGCTGGGGCAGCACAGTGAAAGCAGAGCCTCATCCTGCCCCGATCTCTAGAGCTTAAGGGCCACCCACCCTGCCCTGGTTTCTCCACCCGGGGCTCCCCACCTTTTCTGGTCCAGGTGGGAAATGAATACTTTTGTTTCTCCAGGCCACGGAATGAATTGTCCCGGGTCTCCAAGAAGAACATTTTTCTTCTATTTAAGAAGCTCTGCTCCTTCCGGTACCGCAGGGATCTACTTAGACTCTCCTATGGTGAGGCCAAGAAAGCTGCCCGTGACTATGAGACAGCCAAGAACTACTTCAAGAAGAGCCTGAAGGACATGGGCTATGGGAACTGGATAAGCAAGCCCCAGGAGGAAAAGAATTTTTACCTCTGCCCAGTGTAGTCTGACCCGGTGACTGATGGGTTGGGGTGTCCACACTGCGGGGAGAGGGAGGTCATAGTGTTCCTCATCACAGTGAGCAAGGGGTGTCTTTTTCTTTTTTTTTTTTTTTTTAATGGAACCACAGTTGGTGATACTGAGAACTTGGGGTTCTGTTTATCCTGCTTTCTTTGGGAATACGAAGCCAGGTCTAGCCAGGCCCCCTTCTCTTTTCCCCAGCAAAGAGGTAGAGAGCTAAGGGAAGAGAGAAGGAGTCATCTTTTCTTTCCACCCAAAGCGTAAGCAGTCACTGAACACCTGCAGCCCACTTCCTCTTCTGTTCTGTTCTGGGTTTTTCCATTTCCTTTCCCTTTGTGTTTGCTACACTGACCTCTTGTGGTCTCGACTAGAGGTTCCAGTCAGCTCTATGTGAATCATGTCAGGGACTGATGCTTTCATTTGTGGATTCTGCAGGCCCTCTTCCCTGCTTCCCCTTCTGAGATTCCTTCCTTGTGGTCATTAAGTTTCTCCTTTTCCTCCAAGAGGGTAAAGAGGTGAACTTAAAGAATTTGGTAAAACATTTATAAGGACAGGAGTTTAAAACTGCAGTCAGTTCATTACCAGTGTCAAGTGTGATCAGAATCTGCAGATAATGCTCAGCGATCTTTGGACATTGCACTTTAGCCAGCTTCCCTTCTCCAGGCGGCAGGGGAGGCCAAGACCAGCCAGACCAGTCCGGGCTAAGGGAATTGCCCAAGCAATAGCAGAGGTTCCCCCACAGGGGTGACACAGACCACTTCCCAGGGAGGGGAGCACAGACATGCCTTGGAATAATGCCAAGCTCCCAGCTGCCCCCCTCCTAAAGCATTCGTAGGAATTTGTCCTACCAATGGGGGCATTAGGGCCATAGACCCTAGTCAACTGGTAGGAAAAAACCCAGGACAGATCCTGACAGGCATATCATCTCTGCTCAGATAATCAGGACTTAGCAAGAATAAGGGCGGAAAATCATGTGGGGTCAGATACCTCTTCCACCTGGCATCCTTCTCATGACAGTGACACCAAGGGAAGTTCACTAAGTCATGATGTTGATTCTTAACTGCTACAGATAACCTGTAATCGCACAGATTTAAAATCCATTGCACAGATTTAAAATCCAGACATAATGTTCCATTTATCCAAGTGTTTTTGTTTGGCCAGACAGCTTCAGAAGGTTGTTCACGGGCAGCTCACAGACCTGAGGTCTCCCTGCCTGTTAAGGAATCTTTATAGAGTTGACATATGACAATAGTTGTAAGTGAAAGGGCAGGTTATCCTAAAACTCGGTGAGGTGGGACCCTTTGTCTACACCTCAAGTTAACATTGACTCTTGTGGTTAGAGCCTTCAGCCTCTCTGTGGAGTCTGGCTCTGGGCCTAAGTCAGCCACACATGCTCAAGAGAAGTACAGAGGCCCTGTCACTTCCAGACCTGAGCCTGCCCCTTTCCTTGAGATGATTCCTCTGTCTGTATCTGTGAACCTGCTGAGCCAGTGCCCTCAGATGATTTTCCATCCTCTCCCACGTGCCACAAACCACTGACTAGGTAACCCTCTGTCCGTCCCACCTCTTCAACAGTAGATACATCCATGTTCACACTTTTACTCTTGGGGCTACTATTCTCTCTGTACTTTTGACCAAAATAAGAAAACCCACGTTTGTAAAGTAGACTAAGGATGTCTCTGCGGAACAGCAAAGTGTCCCGAGGACCTGGTAGGGAAACAGTGCCTGGCATCTGGGGCAGAAGGGGCCTGCCCCCTGGTCCTGTGAATCTGCTAAAGGTGCATGAAGTCAGTTCTGCCCTGGGAGGCAGCTCATCTCCCTGTCTTCAGGCTGGAGGGTATCACCTACTGATTCCTCGAAATATTCAGCCCCTCTGGTCTGTCCTGGGTATTAGAATCTCTGGCAGAGCTCTGACTCATCGCCTCTTCTTTAACCGGGAGCACAGGGCCTCTCAGAAGATCAGAGCCCCCACTCTCCCCTAGGTCTTGTCTAGCAAACCCACAGTATTCAGTTTCTGCTGTAGGAAGAGAGCCAGGCAGCCCTCTACCCCACGTGTCTGCTGGAAACAAGCCTGTGTCTGGCCCTGCACGGCCGCGTCCCCCACGCCCCTCTGAGTCCCGCAGGACAGAGGAGGCCGAGCTCCCACTTAGAGTGTTCACTTCACTTTTTTGTCCGATCTTTGTTTTCAAGAAGCAGGACCACCACCCCCACTTTTTTTTTGTTAAACGATCTTTGTAGTTGATTTGTCGGAACTGTGGCTCTTGTGCATTCTTTGAATAATCACTTGTAAAAACTGTCGCTGCTTGAAGCTATTTCCTTTACTCACGTTGCAGAGACTTCGTTGGTTTTTGGGGTCTTGGTAGTGACTCCAAGAGCGGAGTGGGGAAGAGCCCAAGCATAGACTTGGGTACCATGATGACTGCAGTCAGTTCTATGATTCTGCTTTTATGTGTCCCTTGATAACAGTGACTAACAATATACATTCCTCATAAATAAAAAGAGAAGAATCCAAATTGTTAGAAAGCCTCAAATCTTGGTTTCTTGGGGGAAGTGAAAGTGGGGACAGGGAGCTGCGGTCCTGGGATTTCGGCTAACAGCGTTGGCTGCATCTGACACACAGCCTGGGGAGAGGGTCGTCCCTCCACCTGCAGGAAGGAGCCATTTCAGAGGGTCTCCCTGGGATGTGAGCTTGAGTCCAGGTGGGGTGGGGGCAGCAGGCACCCCTTAGTTACTTCCCCAGCTCCACACAACCCCTTCCCCATCAGAGCCCACCATTAAATATCTTGTCCCCAAAGACTCAATATGCAAGATTTCAAAGCCCAGAAGAGAACATCCCTTGAGACAATACCACAATTATATACATAATCCCAGCCCTCCTTGAGGGGTGTTTTTCTACTGCCCCCTGCCCCCACCAGCTGTCTTGGCTGCAGGGATGTGCATATTTGGAATAAAGTTGCAGCCTGAACCAGGACCAGCTTGGCTGCAGTCTTAGGAGACAGGCCATTTGCTTTTTGCTTCATAGAAGGTATCCTGAATCTCTCTCCATGTTGTATTTCAAAGAGAATGCACCACTTTCCACATTGTAATTTAGTCCAGAATTTCTACAAGACTCATTTTGACCTTTTAAAAACAGTATCATACCAGAGGACACAAAGTGCTGAACGGTGAGCCTAAATCACAATGAAGCCTCCTCCCTCATCCATTATACAAATGGAACAACTGAGGCCATCAGGGCCAGTGACATGTTTGGGGGCACATTAAGTAAGGACCAGAACTCTGCATGGGTGTTGTTCATAATCTGTTGAAATACAGTGCTGGGTGAGCTGAACAGTTTTTAAAGACAGTGAAAGATAACTTCTCCAGCTGCCATGATGTACAGGAATCTCAAGCTCCTCTGTCCTGTCTGTCCTCAGGCAGCTCTTGGTTCCACCTGGGGGGAAATGTAGTATCCAGGTCTTTTAGAAAGGGGACAGTTTTCTTCACACCTAATGGGAGTGCCAGACACGTCTGCAGAGGGAACAAGCCTGTCCTCCCCACCACCTACCTCCGAGTGGCCTGGGAAGCAGGACTGCCCTGCGCGAGCATGAGAGGGACTTTCTTCATTTCAGTTGCTCTTCATCCTGCTTTTCATCTAGGAGCTCGCAATTCAATTCTGTTTCCAGGATTTGGGCCCAGATCAAACCAGTGTTCCGGGAGCAGGTCTGGCCTCCATGCAGACTGAAGCCTTGGCTTCCCAGAGCACAGAGGCTGTGAAAGGAAGCCTGGCCAGCCTGCCTCCAGGAGACTGGTCCTCACCTCTGCCCTGTTCTCCAGGGTCCCTTCTTTAAAAGGGTCTTCCCCAGGAGCTGTTTCTGGGCTCTGTCTGCTATAGGCCCAGCCATTTGGCCATTTCGTTTCCATCTGATGAATGGACTTGTAAGGCAACATATCACAATAAGTTACCACTGACCTTTTCTTTAGAGTCTTGTAATGTCTTAACCTCATGAGTCCAATTTCCCTAGCAGTCTCCCTTTTACCCATATTTGCCAACCCTAGCCTGTGAGGGTCCTCCCCCTCCCCCACACAAATGTAACAGAGACAAGACATCTTTGGAAACAACTTTATGAGAATCTTGAGGTCCTAATGAGTCTGGCCTGGAGTCAGCTAGACCAGTGCAAATACTCCCGGAGCACAGACAAGGGAGGCCAAGGCCAGCGTGGGGGAGATGGGGGCACCAAGGGTGGGGAGTGAGGTGTCCTAACGATTCCTGGATCTACAGTCCCTTAGGAAGCATGTGAGTATCACACTGACCTCAGACCTGGTGAGAGGAATACTCAAAGGTGGCTACTGCTTCTGTCTAGTCTGATGGGTGACCAGCCAGCACCAGGCAGGCTGGAAGTGATGCTGTGACACCAGCCCAACTCTGCCCAGAGCGGAGGGTAACAACTGGAACTGTGTCCACTCTGGCTTGGGGAGTGAATTCAGAGAAGACCCTGAATGCCCCTCACGCTCCTCCCCAGAAGCTCCCCTCCCACCTGCCTCCAAGGCCACAGTGAGAGCGTGGACTCAGGATCAGCCTGGGTTTCAGGCCCAGCACTGCTCACCAGCTGTCACTTGGTCTCTCTGAGCCTCATTTTCTCCTCTGTCAACAGGGGCCCCTTCCCTCTAGGACTGTTGTGAGGAATGAAGATGGTGCATCTGAAGCAATGGCACAGAGCAGGCCCTGAGCAAACAGTAGCTAGTACCGGGACTGGGAGGAGAGCAGACCAGGGCTCAAAGCCCCCACATCCTCCCTATTTCCTTAGAGGGCATCAACCTTGCCCTTCCTCTGCAGACAGCCTTCCTCCACAGAAAATGCCAGCTGGGGGGCTGCCCCTGCCTTGTTTGCTTCTCAGTCTTCAATAACGTGCTGCCAGCTGTTCCAGTGTTAGATACCTCACTGCCAGGAGACTGCCTTCCTGCTGCAATGCCGACTGGCAAAAGCAGACTCTTTCATGCCCTCTTTTCAGACAAAAATGGTTCTCAGATCGCCTGTGGCCTTGCCGTCTGATGGAGACAATCCCAATGTTTCCTCACTAGCCCCCTCCCAAGCCCACCTCACTTGGGTTTCAATCCACTGTCTACCTCCCGCTTCAGATCTGGGACCTCTGGTCCTTGCCCAGCACTGAGCGGGGTACCCCATTCTCTCCAGAGATGGCCTCACCATGGAAGGGGGCAAGGAGCTTCCCTGACAGCACCTAGGGGAGAGGACAGAGGACCCAGGAGTGGGAGAGACCGTGGTTCTCCAAAGCTGCCCAATGCCCCTGAGGGTTCAAGCTCTGTACTGACACGTGGTAACACCTTGCCCATGCAACGGGGGCCCTCCTTCCTCCACCTCTGCCCTCCCCTCCTCCCTACTGCATGGTCCCCAAAGGGCTGCACCCAGAGATGGAGGGAATGGCACTGCCCCAGGGACCTGCCCGGTTAACCCCTTGATGTACATCCATCCCTCTCCCTTGCTGCAGCCCTCAGCCAGCTCTGTCATCCCCATTTTACAGATGAGGATG